ATATATATGGATGAGTGTGCGGCTGGGAGATGGGTGTGCGGCCGCACACCCATGTGTGTGGCCGTACACACCTCTCACGAGGGTGTATGGCCCGGTTTTGTCTCTATACGACTTGTTGACTCATTTCTAATCTCATTCCCGGCTGTACTCAAGCTTAAAACACTTAAACTAACTCTTAAACGACGTTAAAAGGTAACGGAATCAAGTTCAATGTTGATAAAGTTGACCAAGCGTACAGAATAAAAGTTGCGGGTTGTCACAGTTACAATTAAAAATCTCCAACACATGAAATCCTCCAATAGAAAAATTGGTAAGCGCATCTGTCAAATACTCAAATCAGGAATCGGGTGTTACACATAACTCACTCGTATGAAGTCAGAATTACTTGACTTTTGTACATAATATAATTTGGTGTTTGTATTTCATTTTAGACTGTAAAAAACACATATTTTTGTTACATATTAAATCAACTACATGCTTCGGAAGACATCATATTTATGCTTGTAAAACCCGCACTTTTCGTGAGACATTTCGCGGATAGACCCTCATTTATGTTGTCGTTTAAATGTAAACTGTATCGTAAATAAATGAAATTTTTTATTATGTGCTATATGTTTACAAAGTGTTCTTTGTATATAATATTGTATTTATGTTATACGGATAAATATTATAACGAAATAATCATTGTTTAAAAATACGGTTAAAAACGAGACAAAAAGGCTAAAAGTATGAATTAAAAGTAAATGCATAATTAGGATAAATGATCTAAATGGAAGTCGTAGTGCTCGTCAATAGCTACTTGTGCATATAAAGAACGCATAAATCGGACTTTGTATGAGGAAGTTATGATTTTTCAAAGTTTCGAGTGTGACATAATACAACTACAATAGTGTGTGACACAGAAATCGAAATGAAAATCGGTTGATGTTAGCCGAAAAATCTAAATGAAAGTTGTATTAGTCTTCAATAGAATACCAACGATATAAATAACGTCGAAAACGGAGTTCGTATGAAGAAGTTACAAATTTTGCAGCGTTATTTATAGTGTAAGCCTTCTGATACCGTAAAAAGAAAAATAAAGTGAAAATTAGCCAACATGGTCTAAATGAAAGTTGTAGTATTCTTCGATAGCTACGCGTGGATATAAAGACGATCGAAACGGAGCTCGTATGCGAAAGTTATGAATTTTACAAAATAATTAATTTTCGACCGATCCAGAAGCAACACATGGCATCACTGGAGGGCGACACATGTCGCAATCAACGGCACCCATTTGTCCCCCATGGCTTGGCAGGGATGGACGAAATGTGGCGATAGGCGTGACACACCCTTCTTTTTGGGCTATAAATAGACACACCTGCAAGCTCTTTCCTTTGCCAATTCCTTTCTAATACTTCCAATCTCTCCTGAATCCTCGAGGCTCGATTCTAGTACTTCTCAGGGATCAATAGTGAAGCTATGGAGCGTTGGAGATCCCGAAGAAATATAGTTTTCGGTTTTGAAGTTCCTCCTGCATAAAGTCTGGTTTTTCACTAAACGACCTATAAGTTGAGTTATGATTACCGTGCTTTAAATATAACTTATATTTATGTTTATAATCATTTTTATGAACTTATAAATATGATTTATCAGTAATATCAGTCGTTATACTGATTGATATACTTACATAAATGATGATAATGTAAGAACAGTGAGATGTTTAAAGTGGATTTCTCAAACAGTATATCTTTATATACCAAACGGATCATACTTCAAATACGATCTTACCTGGTTGTTTCTTATCAGCTATAAGTTGGTATTTCATTTGAAATTATTGATAAATCTCAGAAAAACAACATTTATAACCACGGATAATATAAACAATAACTAAACATAGTAATATTTTATCTAGGTTCTTTTTAAAAGAAAAAGTTGAAGCGTATTCGGAGCGCATATTTAAGTTAAAGCTTTTCACCTTTAACTAGGTGAGTATGTAGTTACTTTCAAGTGCATAATTATAATAAAATTAATCATCGCAAGTATTTATCGTTCGAAGGATTGTGTATATGTTAACTGTTTAATATATGTATTTTTGTGCTGATTTTATTTATTAAGTTATAATAGTATTGTAAAATTAGGAAACTTTATTTAAAGTCAAATTTCTTTTATTATAGTATTGTAAATTTAATTTAAGACTTATAAATGATATTAGATCGAAGTAAGTTGAAAATTTGAATAATCTCATAGTCGGGTAATGCCTGAGACTTAAGGCGGAGTGTAGTAGTAGTCCTTTTTTTGGATAGTTAGTATTGGCAGGTCCATATCAGACAGCCGGAGGGTATGTCTGGAGCATCTTCCAGAGTGAGATGTCTACACTTGATAAATCTAGACGATCTTGTGATTTACGTTGATAGTGTGGCCTTATAAACCACATACATAGATAAAATGAGATGTCATATTTATCAAATACTCTGAACATTGGTTGCCTTTAAAAGACTTACATTAGCCAAGAACTCCCCTAGCTGTGTAGTCAAACAATTGCTCAAACGATTTATCAGGTTAGATGATTCTTCCAGATAATCGTTGAACTAGGATTTTGTGAGAATCGATTGGGCGAGGTATGTCCGAGTAGAATGTCTTATAGATATTTACGTTGGATTTATATATCTATATTGTTTGGAAATGTTTGTTTTGCATGATGATTAATATAATTTAATATCATTAAATTTTTGTAGGCTTGAAAACCCTATGTATCTCACCAGGTTTCCTAAACCTGACCCACTCAATTTATATGCATCACATGTAGCGGTACTAAAGCTGCTGAAATCTAAGTTAGGATGCCAAGTGAATAAGAGATGAGTCTGCTACAGTATTCAAGACCTTTAAAAATTTATGTTGTAACCTATGTTAGATATTTAATTATGACATCCTTGGTATTGTAATATTTTGAAACAATATTTATTATCTAAATAAAAATGTTTTATTAAGCTGAGATTTTCTGCAACAAAACATCTCATTATTTTAAAGCATAATGAAAAAAAGTTTAATTGGTTCAGATAAATGGGGGATGCTACAATGCCGTATTTTTTTATGTTTCAAAATATTTTATATTGTGTCCCGTTTTTTAAAATACGCATAACTCAATTATATGAAGTCAGAATTACTTGATTTTTAGCACGTAATTTGGTGTTGCAAATCACAAAAACAGATCCATTCTAAAAAATAACCGAAAAACCAACACCAAAAACCAACACTGATGATCCGGTCCTCGGTATATACAACCCAATAAATTTGGTTCTAATTCCAAACCGATTTGGTCCTGTTCAAAAGCTCATCCCTAACTAAATATTGGCCATCCAAATTACACAAACAATACTTAAATAGGAAGAGTAAAACTAAACAGGACTGGAAAGACTATTGGCTGAACAAAAAACAAAAACAAAATCTGAAAAAAAAACATGAAAAAACATAAAATGTCCATTACTTCACCCATAAAGCGTTTTATGGATTCGAAAGACCTTAACAGGGTGTGCTCCTCGTTTCAAGCTTTAATTCGACACTCCCACACTTAAAAACAGAGTCTAAATTATGGACGTTTTAATGTAACATCCTTGGTAGCCTGTTCATGAGTCTTTAGAAATATAATCTTCAATCATCCATGCTAGTGCCCGCATCACATGTTTGAACTTAATATATTTGTTTATAGTTAGTTTTCTCTATTTTATCCATTAACATTAAAATAAAACATGAAACAACTCATTTGTGTATAAATTGTTATTTCCAAAAAAATCATATTATTTGAATTACCATTCTTCCGTTTTTGTTTTTGCTTTTTTTTAGCGTAAATGTAGACAATGAATCGACCCAAACAGGATGGCCCAAAAGGCCTAATAGGCGTTAATAGGTCAACCTTTTTTTTTTTTTTTTTTCCTCTTTCACGTTTTCAACATCTTTCTTCATTAACACGGGTTTTACAATTTTTTACTTAATTATTTTCATATGATATATAAAAATTATCTTCTAAGCATTTCAAGCAACAAGAAAAGAAGTCAAGAAGTACAATCTCGATTTAAGTGAAAAAAATAAATCATAGGTCTAAATTTTATGCAATATGATTTTGAAAAAAAAAATTTAAGATCAAATTACAAAAACCAATAATTGGAAATTTACACAATTTAAGAAATATATTAATGTCAAAATATTCATATCATAATGGACATACATATCACATTAACAATTTTTTTTTTAATGTTATTCATATCACATTAACAATTATTCTAGACATGAAATGACACATTTAACCCTCATTTATGGCTGCCCTTGGTTGGTGGTAACTAACCACAGAGTCCACTCTAACTGTTTGCATAAGAATCTTTGCTCATAATGATATAATTTGGCCCTAACCCTAAATGACAAAAAAACCCCTAGAAAATCCAGACATGTTACTGTTAATTAAATCATATCAAACAGCATAAAAACAGAGCATCCAGTTATTCACCACTATAAAAGGAAATATATTTCTTCATTTGGGAATTGATTGATATGGCAAAACCAGACATTAATGTTAAAAAAATTAAATGAAAATAGTAAAAAAAAAAAAATGAAAATAGTAAAAATGGGTCCCAACTCCCAACTACCAAACAACAAAACAGTCAACTTAAACCTTCATTATGAAATTTTCCCAATTTTATTACCAAAAGAAACACACAATAAACAAAAAAAGAAAGATTATGTAACAACTTAAATTAATAACTTACAAATACAATCATACATCTTCAAATTAAAATTGATGAACATTGAACATTGAACATTGAAGAAACAAGGTCAGCAATCAGCAACCCATCACAGCACAATTGTAAACAAAAACTCCAGAATGTTCTTTAACACCAAGAACCTTCCAATCCAAAATACCATTTTTAACCCCGGATTCTGGATTCCAAAAATTAAGAACAATGGCTTCACCTTCAGGACCCCTTTGTCCACCTACAACAAGAACCCCATCTCCACAAGCCTTGAACCCTAATCCCCAACCATTTGACGAATCTGCCCTCACTGGAAGCCTCCCCAAAACATTCCATTCATTCTTCTTTTTATCATATTTCTTCACCATGTTGCTTAAATACTCAACTGCATACAACTCATCTTTCACGACTGCAACTAATGGAGGTGCTTGAGCTGCCCGGTTTACATTCGGGTAGATATACATCCCATCAATTTTCCTCCATTTTTTTGTGTTTAAATCAAACTCTTCACCACAAGTTAATGAATCGTTCAAACTCGTCATTCCTCCTATCACATAAAACTTCCCATCCATGAAAAAACCAGAGCATAATCTTCTTGGAGAATGCATGTTAGGCAGCATTTCCCATTTACCAGATGTTGAATCGTATAGTTCAGCAGATTTTAAAATGTTTCCATTTTGATCGCTTCCTCCTGCAACAATGGCAATTGATCCCAGAGTTCCTGAACCGAATAAACATCGGGGATGATTCATTGCTTCACATTTTACCCAATCGTGGGATTTCAATCTGTATTTCCATATGGCAAATTGAAAAAGCTCACGCCCGAAAACCAGTAATTCACTACCTACAGCTAACGATTCTTTATCTGCGTGATTGAAACATTCGTCACAAGGGATTTTGGGGAGCTTCATCCATTTCTTTCTTGTTGGATCAAATCCTTCCCAACCTCTGGGATCAGAAACCATGTATACCGAATGCTCTATTATCCCTAATTGTTTCCTTAAATTGTTCAGATACCCGCTTTTTATTAGCGAATTGAATTTGGTGTTTAGACAGGAGAGTGACGCGTAATCGAATCTGGATACCCTAGCCAGAGAAATTAGAGCGACATCGTCATATATGCCGGGAAGAAGAGGATCGTTTTCTTCCTCAAAGAAATACTCTGAGGAAGAGTTGTTTGTCTTATAACAAGAGCTCATTAGCTTCTTGATATCAGAATCTAACCTCATTTTTGTATACCCAAATAATAATATACCCCAAAAACTTAAGAAAAAAAAACCCAATTTCAATTTGCTATACCTCTTTTCCTCTGTAAACTGAATCCGCGTTTGATATTTCAATGCAATTATTCATCATCATGTTCGTCGATTTATGCAAATCAGAATAACATGAAAGCCCTGGCCTCAAAAGAGAACCCAAATTTGCATCACATATCAACGTTCCCCCCTTTGTGTCGATCAAAATTCATCAAAAAGGTCAAAACCTTTCAACCGATTTTTACATCATGAAGGAAAACATTGAATCAAATTGAACTGATATAATCAGCGTAATTGAGATCCAAACATAATAGCGGCGCGAGAAAATCTGGATCTCACCGTGAAACCATCACGAATCCCGTCGATGAGACAGTCGCCGGAGATTACTAAGAGTCGGATCTCATAAGTCAGAAAGACGGCGCCGGCGCCAGAAACAACCGTGCACATGCAGACATCTCGCCTCGAAGCCAATGCAGTCCAGTTATATGTTATACTGTGTGTGTTGTGTGTGCGAGAGAGAGAGAGAGAGAGAGAGAGAGAGAGAGAGAGAGAAGGGTACGTCTTCTAAAATGTAAAGACTAGAAAAACTGGAACTGGTTGAAAGAGAAAATGGAGTGAAAGCGAAAATGGGAGTTGTGTTGCTAGATTTAACATTAATGCCCCTTATTAAAGTCCTGCTATTTTTTGATCATCTCGATCAATTATTGATCTTCATATTCCGGCTTCCCTATTTCATAACCGTACACGACTTTGATGTGTGAAGGAAATATTTTAGAAAATTCTATCTTATTTTCAATTTTTTATATATAAAAGAGTTTTAGAAAAATTTAATCATAAAAATTTACAAAAAAATAAATTTTATTTTGGTTAGCAGGTTTTCACCGGTTTAAATGGACAAACTTTATCAAGATGATAAGCACTGATCGGTATATTAATTGAGTCTCACCTTACTTTTTTAATCAATTGACCAGCTTTCTACCATTAACTCTTTATCAACGTGAAGCATAATATTTGGGAACAAATAAAACTTTGAAAATGAAGAACTCCACCTCTAACATCTTTATTCTTAGGAATTGATGAAAATAAGTTAATAAAGAAGTTGATGAAACCATTCATCACATTAGTTATTTTAAATAATCCTTTCAAAATTATATTTTTAATACCAAAAGAGTTTAATTTATGGAATTAGGTCTCAACAGTTAAAGTTTAACATAGTTTGTTAACAACTATGATGAATCAACCAATGCAAAGGAAAAGTTATATACAAAGTCTATACATATTCAGTTGGGTTTCTAAAAGTCTGTTCATCCTACTTTCCTTCTTCTTTAGTTCTCTAAATCAAATACATGTTAAAATGCATGCCAAAATACACATGCTAGGCTTAGAAAGCCTAATAAGCATTTTAGATGTCAACTCTTTAATTGTGTAAGATAACATCTACAGTCCAAATCTAAATTCAAACCTTTAAAAAAGTTTACAGCATATCAAAATAATTGTTATGGTTCAATGTTGGGGAGAAAACATTTAAAAGTTAGGTATTTGCAAAAGTACACTAAAATCCCTAATAAGTCAATAACTTAAAAAAATGCAAATGCAACATGATTCTATTCCCATGACACAAACCAATCTTTAAGATCAAATCTCACAATAATGGCTAAAATCCAAACATCTATATAGAAAGCACATAATCCAATATACATCATTTTCCATCTGAGCTCTTATATAGTTAGCACATAATACACTATACATCAATGTCCATTCTAAAATACCAGGTACTAGTAAGTCACTGCCCTAGACTATATGTAGGGTAGTAAATCCACACATACACGTGCATGCATTGTAGGATGTCATCACAACCCTCTAGCTAAGTGTTATAACAAAGTTTTGGGTACCCATGTTATAGTGGCCACACAATGTAGGACTTGTCCTAAGTAGATGCACATGTACATGTTAAAATCGCATTTCAAAGTAACAAGTAAATCTCCATTTTTAAAATCTCATTATGAAAGTCTGATTCATGAATATA